CGACGGAAACGATGTTTATTTGAGGAGTGTACTAAGAAAAAACCTCGAATGGCTTAGTTTTCCGAGCCTTTATTCTTGAAATATCAAAGTTTTACTGAATTTTTCAACAAAAATCTATTATTTCTTCAAGTTATATGAGAGTTTCGACTTCAAACTTTGCACGAACAAAGTTCTTGATGAGATTAGTTCGTTGAATAAGTTGTAATTTTTCTAGTGTCTTGCGTTCTGAAACATCGAATATGCGAAATTCTCTCATCTATAAAAAGAAAATTTTGTTCAAATATTTACATCTCTAAAATGAAAATAAGAGAAAAGCTTAAAGTTGTACACTCAACTAATCTCATTAAGAACTTTGTTCGTGCAATGTTTGGAGTCGAAAGTCTAACTTTACTTAATGGAGATCACAAATATTTGTTGAAAAACTCCGTAAGACTTCAATATAGAAAGAATAAAGACTCGAAAAATTAAACCATTCTCCACTTCTCTGTTACTTCCTAGTATTTATCAAATAAATATCATCTCAATCGAAAAGTAATTTAACAGTTGGAACAATTCTCTCGTAAGTCGAAATGCATATGTATATTTACAAGTTTTGCTTTGTTAGATAAAAATCAATTTCAACTTCACCATTACCATCACGTCTTTTATCTTTCAAATGATTTTTCATATATTAACTATGTTATATTAAAAAAAAAAGCAAAATAAAACAAGATACAAGGTTTACAATGAAATAAACTCTACAAAAAAAAAATATAAAATTCAGTACGTTAAATAATACCAGAAAGTTTAAAATCGACTTTTAACTAAAATATAAACGCTTTAAACGAAAAAATTTGATTTCAATCAAAGTAATTTGTTGTTCGAAATACAAAAGATTATGTTAATCTATTTTGAATAATGTATAAGTTAAATATTGTGCTCCTTGATTTGCTGATTTTTTAAATGCAAAATTTAACTTTATTAATATCTATGTTGAATGATAAACATTAATATGAATCTCATTGCATTATCTTTTTGATGCATTAGTAAAATATTTCATTTCAACATCTCCAACTCATTTGTAAAGTTTTAGCTATTTTATATGGTGCATTATCTATACGTAGAATTCCTTGATTGCTGAATTTGTTATTCAATAGATCAAACTTCATTGATGTCTACTTTATATATAGTATCAACAAATAAACAGTATAGAAATGGTCTACTTTTGTTAATCTTTCGTGATTTTTTTAACTTTTTCGACAATTTAACAACTTGAGAACTAAAAGATTTTCGTTGAAACAGTATTACAAAGTTTTATGTTCCTATATGATCAATTTTTTTATCAAAACTACGATGTGAAGTTTCGTTATTTCTCAATTCACTTCACAAAGTGACGATTTTTGAGGTGGCAACTGTTTTTTTTATATAATGAAAACCAATCTCATAACCTCAATTCGAAAATTTTATAAACCTATAAATGAGAAAGTTAGTTTAGGTCTCGGAATGAATATATGAAATGTACTGTTTTTGAAAATCGATATAATTTATAACAATATAATCGAGTAACTATGGAAAAATATCATAGACGTAATGTTGTGTTTTTAAAAATAAATTAATGGTGATGGTTTCATTTAGTTTCTCATTAAGAATACTGTGAGAACATTAATAGCAACTTTCTACCTATGCTTTCATCGGCTTCGTATTGATACTAAACTCACAATTGAGCAAAAAAATAACTTACTGAAATAATAATTCATCGTGCATTTTCAAACAACATTGTACAATAATCTACTTCCATATACAAATATATTTACCGCTAAATAAGAAGAGGACGAGAAAAAGCTTCTAAAATATCATAAAAAAAGCAAAACGTGACACTGTGTATGAAATTATGTTGCAATGAATTTCTTTTCATTCTTTCGTTTACTACTGACACTAAAGATAGGAACTGATAAAAAAAGAAGAGGTGAAGCATTTGAATGAAACGAAAAAAGATAAGAGCTCAAATGACAAAAAAAATATCTAAAAAAAGAATCGTAACGTACTATATAAATTCAAGTCATTTTATTTTATTTTTTTCATTGATAAAACATTACGCACAACATGGATAAAACGAAACAGTCGATAACAACAGCAACTACTACTACTACCACGCTCTCAGAACCTACGAGTATAAGCCCACGACGGCTTCTTCCTACTCGTATTGTTCAGAACTTCGTTCTGGTGTGATTCGATCCCAATATTAATGATATGAACAACAGTGATTGTATGAATATCATCAGTAAAATAAGAGAAATAGTAAAAAAAAATATATCCATTCACTGATGTAAATGAATGCATCGATTTTATAACTGATATTCATGAAAGGAAAATATTTATGGTCTTTTCTGATTCTTACATGCAAAAAACTCCTCCTATTGTTCATCAAATTCCACAAGTGAATAGTATCTTTATTTGGAGTGATAGCCAAGCTGGACATGAATGTTGGATCAAACACTGGCCAAAAACAAAAGGAATCTTTACAGATATTGCTCCAATCTGTAAAGCTCTTCAACAAGTTGCACAAGAGTGTGATCAAAACATGATTTCGATCAGTTTTGTCCCCATGGACAGTGAAAGCAGCAAGTAGAGCCCTGTGGTTCCAAAAAAAAATGGAACCGAGAACCGGAACCGTTAGGAACCGAAATTTTTCTTGAGGGTAAGAGTTTCAAGATGTGTAGATGTTGCAAGATGCACATTATATCAGCACTTTTCTTCATTTATCCATGAAAAGTTTTCGTAGTAATCGTGGTTTTCAAGAAAAAGCTCTTAAGTTAGTTAAAACGGAAATTATTAAACGGCAACCAACAATACTATCCATTACATGTGCAACTACTACTTCATCACCAGTTCATACAAATTCACTTGATTCTCAATCGACAACATCAAAAGGTCCTCTTTCATACTGTTTTGATATACCACAAAATTCCTTAACATTGTTAACAACACCGTATGAGTTAGATGAATATATGCCATCAAATGTTCCATTCAATGGACATGATGATGTTTCAGAAAAATGTTTCCTCCAAATCTATTACTTTCTTCGATATGTGAATTGAACAGTACAAGAACGTCTACCTGAGTATTCTCGAACCCTTCATTTTCGAGATCATCACAATAGAAAATGATAACGTTCAATGCTCACATCCAATAGATAAAAAAGAAAAAGAAAAATCACAAAGGACTACGTAAAAGCGATATAAAGTGATCTTAGCTTTCGGCAATGGAATTTTAATTACCATAATAATGATAAGCAATTTCACTAAGAGTCGATCCTGTTCTATCGAAAGTGTTCATTATTTCTCCTGCTCATAACAGCTGACTGAAGACCAGTTCACTAATTTTAATTATCTCGAGTAAAAGATGAAGAACAAATCGTCAAAATCAATGTTTTGTGGAAATTACTGACGAAGAACGAAAATTCATATTGAAGATTCAAAATCATTTGAATCATCTCAAGACATCTATCTCTCTGGCATAGTTCGAACGAATTTCTATCAACTTACCGTTCTCTAGAACATTGTGGCACAAGTACAGATTTTGTTACAGCGAAATATAGGCAAAGTATGGAGGCTGAATGCGTACGCGAAGGACCACATAAATGCTGTGCTTCGCACTGCATTAATGATTCTATCTTGAAGAAGCTCATCTGACTACGAAACATTCTTTGAAAGTAAAATTTACTAACACTGTTTCATAGATTTTGGGTCATTTAGAAGTTTTTTCGTATTTTTCGAATATAGAAAGTTCGACAAATATCGAATATATGTATTTGAAAACATGATAAAATATATTTATCAAATTTATTTTCTACGCTTTCATGTTAACATTCGTTTTACACTCATTATGCCATTTTTATCATTGGGTGTTTAGGATATCTGTTGCTAAAATAGATTTAGGTATGGTTTCTTTGTATGATAAAAGTAGAAATATAATGAAAAACGAGTGACAAAAAAAAATAAACTTGATAATAATTATTTTAACATTTTTACTAATAATGCACCCTTTTGATAAGAATGCCAGTTGAATAAAATAAATTTAAAATGATACTTTTAAATATACATCTCCTAAAGTCTGTTCAATTTTGCATATTTGAAAAATACAAAACAAGAAAGTCATATGAGAAGCGAATCAATAGTTCTAAGAAAAGTCGATCGTCAAAAAAAATTAGCAACATATTCTTAATATGATATTAGTATTAATAATATAACAAATATATTTGCAAACGCAAATTATGACGAATTTGTTCATATTAGAGAAATAATCATAAACAAAAGAAATACAATTACTAAATAAATCTAGATGATTATCTTTACTAAGAAATGGTAAGGTGTTAAAAACGATCGATGTATAAACATATGACATATTAATTATAGATTGATCATAAATCATCGATTATATAATCTATCAAATTTCATCTTACAATCGATAACGAAAAATTCACTTGAATATGAATTTTTTTTTTCAGCGATTTAACTTTTTTCTTTTCTTTTATATGATAGAAAAAGTCAATTTGTTCGAAAAAAAAAAATATATCTTTTACAACTATTTGTATAAGTCATTTTTAATGATAATACAAGTAAATCGTCCTTTGATAAATCATTCAACCGTAAGACTAAAATATTTCAATGAATCAATTCATATAATTACAATATCGCTCTAATGTCGATTTTCTTTGTTGAATTGATCAAATGAACAAATCTTTAATCAGTATTTACTATTGACAAAATATCGCTTGTTCAATAGTTCATGCTTGAATGCATATTAAGTACCGTAACGATCAACGTCATAGAAGAATGAGAGAAAAATGAAACATGATACGAAGGTCAGAAGATGAATGCGTCACTAACTGTTTGATTGTCTCCTTGTATCTATGTATGCCTGACAAGGCTTCTTACACATGCATACATTATTGTACCTACAAAATTATAGGCAACTAATAGGCGACTTATAACCTTTTTAAATATATACTTGCTCAAACAATGGCTAAAAAGGCAACTCGTACTGAACTTTCATCACCGGATTTCAATTATGATACATCATCATCATCATCTTCAGATCATCAACAGAAACAGAAGAGACCATCAAATGTAACAACCACAAAAGATTCTATTAAACATTATGTTACTAATGTTTTAACTCGACTTGAAAAAGACAATGAACAACAAACTGATTTAGCAAAAACTGCAATAAAAATTGATACAAAAGCAGCAACTACTTCTCGTTTCTATGAAAATATATCTGCTTTTCGACAATATCCTTCTCAAGCTGAAAATACAGCAAGAACTGATGCTTATCGACGACAACAAGATATGACTAGTGAAGATGATTTAAACGATAATGTATTATCAGAATATGCTTATTAAGATTTCTTTTTCGAAAGATAACAAAACTTTTTTTTTTCTTTTTTATTATTTCGATTAGTCAACCAATGCAAATGAACCAACTACAGAATTGAATATGGATCCAAATCCAATTATTGAAGAACGTGAAAGTTCTGATCAAATATACAAACAAAAAGTTTATTTACGTCAATTACAACCACCTACTCCACAACCAGTTGAAATTCAAGTTCAAGAAGTTTTACTTCAACCAGAACTACAAAAACCACCAATACATGTTCGTGTTGGTCAACGTGAACCTCGAACTCCTTCACCAATTGTCATTAAAAGTACACCACCACAACCTCCACCAACTGAACCTGATCAACCAATTATTTATAATAAATATATTCCACCACCAAAACAACCACCACAACAGGTATCACTTTTATTTATTAGTCAACTAAATTTGAAAAAAAAAATATCTTTTAGATAATCATTCATCGTTATCCTGATTTACCACCAAAACCACGTATGTTAATTATTATTTCAAACTAAAAATCAATTATTTATTTTTTACAAAGGTCCTATTGTTGTTGAACAATGGTTACCATTTAAACCAGCACCAAAACGCATTATTAAACAGTCATTACCTCCTGAATCTCTTAAAACTCCACCACCACCACATAATATAGTTGTTGCATATGGTAAACCACGTACTCTTATTGAAGTTGAATTAGTTCGTTTACCAATGGTTAAAGTCGATCCTTATACTTATCAACAAATGAGTAGTACTGGTCAACAACACATGGGACAACATCAACCATTTCAACATGAACGAGATTATTTATCAAGAGATACATTAGCACGTGCATCTCATCCATCAAATCAATTTAACTGGCGTATCTAGCCACATTTTAATTAGATATGTACACATATATTTATATATAAGCCTGGCAAAAACGAAATAGTTCCAGTTAGTATTTTGAGTATATCATCAATATAAAAAACATATCTTTAACAAACTAATTTCATATTCTGAACACATTCGAAGTTTTTTTTTTTTTTATCATTTTGTATATTTATGTTTCAGTTTGTGCTAATCTACTAGAAAATAAATTGACTGTAATGAAGACATCATTAATATTAGGATTTCATGAACTAGATTTGATCAGTGCCATCATAATTAGTTTTTTTAATTTTTTATTACTATAGAAATACATTTTTTTTAAAGCAGTTATATTTTCTGATAGCACTTGAAATTCTCTATCTTTCTATATACTTGTCTATTGTCGTGCATTTATGTATTGCAAAAATAATTTGAGTACAATGACGATACTATCGATTGACAACTACACAAGTTTGCTGCTTTTTCAAATCGTAGTTACAATGGAATTCAGTTTTTAGAAAAACAATAAATACATTCTGATAGATCTTCATATACTCTAGCATACTGTATATTTTTGTCGTGTCTTGCATTCAAGATATTCAAATGCTGCTAAAGTAAGGATTTTGAGTAAATTTGGTGTAACGAAATAGATGTCCAACTCTTTACTTATATATCTTCAGACTTCAAAATATTGAGACAAGGTTAAAGGAGGGAGATTTTATCTTGATAAACCAAACCTCACATCTGAAAAATTTCATATATCTCCACAGTAAATATAATTGAGTAAAGAAAACTAAAACAAAAAGTAGCCAAAAATTTAGATTTTTTGTACTTGTCGATTGAGAGTGTATTCATTGTACTCAAATTATTTTTTTGCAACAGAACAACGCAAGACAATAGACAAATAGAGAAGAAGATAGACGATTTCAAGTGCTGTCCGAATATATAACTACTTCTTTTTTTAAACTTGGCAATGCGGCCTAATGAGGTGCCAAAATATAGAACTGACGAACCGTGACAATTATAAAGGAGTTGGCGCTTTTTTCCATTCGTATATATTTTTCTTTTGTTGTGGGTGGTGTGGTGATATGAAAGCACTATATCAGACCTCGGACATTTGTAGTTCCATCAAGAAAAACAATAAGGGTTATCTCTGTAGAAAATAGCGGAAAATGATTAATATTTCGACGTTTAAGTTACTCAAACTTGGTCTATGTGCGGATAAACACGATATCCGAAATCAGTATTGAAAATCGAATTTCCCATTGTAACATCTTTACCATCTAAATGTTGTCTTTGGAGAATGACAGAGAAATGTTTAAAGAATAAAAAGTTGAAACAGTAACGCTATAACTTAGATGGTAAGTATGTCACAATGGGAAATAGAGTTTTTAGTGTAATTTTTAATGCGGATCTCGGATATCGTGTTTGTCTTGTACATAGATCGAGTTTCGATAACTTCATCGTCGAAATACTTATCATTTTCCGCTATTTTCTATAGAGATTATCTTTATTATTTTTCTTAGTGGAACGACAAATGTCCAAGGTCTAACATAGTGCTTTCATATCACCACATCACCCACAACAAAAAATGCTAAAACAAAAAGAAATTAAGCGGGAGGGAATCATCCATACATTTGTACAGTTAATTAGAATTGAATTTTCTAAATAAAAGTAATTTTTATTCGATTTTTATTTTAAAAAAATTTATAAACTTTAAATTTGATTGTTCTTTGATTGAAATTTTTTCGATATTGAGAGACAAATAAAATAAAGAATATCTTTGAGTATGTGTCATGATAAATGTCGAATTTGAATAATCATTCAATAAATGTTAACGAATTATGATAAATATTTTCAAAATGTTGATGCATCACACTTATTCCATTGACTTTCAAACGAGCTCCATAAATAAATCATTCATTATCTTAATCTATTATGGTCAATATTGAGTACATATATAGCTGATAATTTAGCTAATATCTCATTCACGACAAATGATGATGCGAAATCTTAATCTAATATTTGTTTAGCATTTTTAATGAAATCTACATAATCATCAATGTTATCAGTAATTGGATCTTTGTAATTTTGTTGATATTTGTTTGAAATAAATGACTAATCAATGATATCGACTATATTGTTTCTTTTGTTCAATTATTCTATGATTATTTATTGGCAAGTATACTATCACTAATGCTATTATTAAGATATAATTCAAGAATTAAACCATCACTTTCAAAATCAAAAATATTTATAGTTGTTTGTAAATACGATAGAAAAATGAAATCGAAAAATTGAATGACAGGATAGAATTATATTCTAAGACGAGAACTACTTTTACACATTATCTATATCAAGCACATACATAGTTATTTTCGTACAATCATCGAGTCTCGCTGAAAGCGAATACTCTAGTGCTAAATGATATCTACAAAACAATTTTAAAGGCCACAAAAGAAACCGGTTTTTTTTGTCAATTGGATGAATAACATCATACTCAACAGAAATGACAATAAAACCAGTTTGAAAAGCTAATTCACGTGTGATCGGATAATGAGTTTCTAAAAAAACGAATTGACTTCAATATAAAAATATATGAATATAGTGACCAACTGAATATCTATATAAGACTCCTTTATAATAATAAATAACGGCAAGAAATAGTTTATTTAAATTATCAATCGAATCTCTTGGGTAGGAGATGCGTACAGATATTTGCTCAATAGTTGTATCGTTAATTCATGAAAAATTTATTGTGCAATCAATTAAGATACTAGTTTTCATAGCACTTTAAGATTAACATTGACTTCGGCTGGTTTTAATTTTATCAATAAAACCTCACAATTACCTTGAATAAACCATGTTGATGATAAACCAAAATTTTCAAACATAAAATCCTTTACAAAAAAATAAAAATAAAACAAATCATTGATGAAGATTTATAAATCTTATTATTTTTCAATTCAAAAAATAAAATGTATATATATTTTAACTTCTATGATTTCTCTCCGTACAATTATTAAATATTTATTCGCTACTAAATCTGATTACAATAAATTTGATTATTTTTATTTGTTTCACTAAATAAATAGATACGATCCATTTGTGACACACTCTCTCTCTATTTGGAAGATCATATAGATATTCAATAAGACATATAAAAGTGCTACCAATTAAATGTAATCATTAAATTTTGTCAGCCATCTCTATTCTCTATGAAAGATACATGCAAATATAAATATGATCTATTAGAAAAACTAATTATCTATCAATAATTATATTTATTATCTGTTCAGATAGTTTTAATGAGAAAAAAAAAACAAACCAAATATTCTCTATGTGTAATTTTTAAAGCAAATAGGAATTTTTTTTTGCGTTCTCCTTTTTTTTAACCACAATGTAAGTTATAAAAAAAAAAGCGCTTTGTCAACAATTTTTGTTCTCTCTTGGTTGCAGCAACATCAAAGACAAAACATTATAAATAGTGATTTCTAGTACGTTATCACGTTTGTCCATATTCATCTATATTTGAAAAAGATAAAGGTAAGATTCATTCTTCTTAAATAAACTCTTCGTTTATGAGAATTTCATTTGGAAATTCTTGTCATTTTTTAGAAAACCTTGAAATCTTATATTTGTCAAGGTAAATTCAGAACGAAAAGAGAAAGCGAAAATACTCAAGGAGAGATACACACATTAGATGACCTTGATTATTTCAAGTTGTTTTTTTATAATTATTCTTATTTAATCGATTAATACATTTTTGTATTAAATTGTTTATTTGAACAAATTAACTTTATTTTATTCATTAAACTAACACTAGATGTATATAAAGAGAATATATTATTCTGTTCTACTTTCACATATGTATTTTTCAAAACAGTCAAATATATGTTTATGAGTATCTTTACTGTTTTATCAGGAACTCAATGAGATATTTCGATAAACAAAAGAAATGAGACAAGAAACTATTTGAGTCTTCTTTTTTAAATTTTATCGTATTTCTTGGATAGGTACAGTACAAAAGTTAGGCATATTAATTAGAATGTTTTGATCAATTCTAATTCAAAAAATATTTGTTTTTGTCAAGATCGTAATTGATCTTTAAGTTTTGATTCTTTTTTTAGAATTATTTTTAACATATATTTGAGAAGAACGAGATTAATTGAAATTATTAGTTTTAATAATGAAAACACGATCGATCAAAATTTATCGAGATTATTTGAAAAGACGTTAATGTCATTCGTTTGATTTCATTTCTTTAATTTTTAAAGATATATCATTTAAATCAATAAAAATATCAAAACAAAAAAACTTTAAATTATCTCTTCGACATATTGAGTGAAAAGCAACTTTTAATAATGATTCATGACGAAAAATTAAAAATTGATCAAAACAATTTCTAATTAATCCTTTGGTGCCGAACGTGATATATATAACCACTTCAAGTATAATAGGTTTTCTCCTTGTATTATCATTCATCCTTGGTTGAGATTCTCTCCATACATTCGAACACGTCTATCTCGGATACGGTAGACGTATTGAAATATATGGAGAGAATACCAACCAAGAATGTATGATAAAACAAGAAGAAAATCCATTATACTTGAAGTGGTATATATACCACACATGACACCAAATGATAAAGATATTTTATTATACTCTATGCTCATGTCACATTCTACTCAATATTAAACCATATATATGGTGTACAGTACAATTTCTACTAAATTATACAAGAAAAATGAGTAATCGACAATAACTCACATTTGACAAAAATTAAATCGCTATTTTCTATACTTAAAAAAAGAATATTTTCAAGCAGACTCAATTTGAAATCGTCACTCTAGATACTCTCTCAATAGAAAAGAAATCATACCATTCTACAGTGTGTTATATAATATAAAGTTTTTTTTCGATACAATCAGATCAAAGACCGAATTTTTTACCGTTCGTAAATCTTTGTATTTTATATATACTGTAAAAATTTGAAGTAGATATTGAACAATTACAATGCC